GGGTGGGAAGGGGTCAGGGAAGTCGGAGGGGGGACGAAGGGGGAAGGAGGATTCGATATGAGTCCAGTCCTTGAACACCAAAATATAATCCCTTGCCCCCTCCAGAACTTGATTGCTGTCTGGGGAGTCTCTACTCCATTCCACTTTTGCTATCCACCTTCTCTATCCCCACCCAACCATTGCTTACAGAACTTGGTGATTGCCCGTTTCACATCCTCGATCTGATGGTAAAGATCTAGTTGGGACTTCAAGGTACGCCATCTACGCTCCAATTCTAGCTGGATTTGCTGTTGAATTTGTTCTGTGATCTCTGCTCCGTCTGCACATATTTTTTCCATGACCAATAGGCATCGCTACCACCATAATGCCCATATTACAGCTCGCCTCCCCAGTCTGAACATGTTTTCTGTGAAGACTGTATCGGCGAATGTCCTGCCAGGATCGCCTGCCAGGTTCATGGCCAGGGGTTTTCTATGTCCATTTTCCTCCACACCCGATCCCACCATCTCCATGTGAACTGTGCAATCGGGCACTGCATGAAGATATGCTCTATTGTTTTGGCCTTTTTTAGGGCTGGAAAGTGCCTAAGACATCGTTGACACCAGGGCAGTGCAAGCCCTTTCTGTTTCAGATTGGTGTGGTCTACCAACCAGTCATTTGTTGGCAAACAACGGTGTGTTATTTGCCACTGTAGCGAGGTGACCTTAGTTGGTTTAGATTTGCGGTCTTGGAACCACTTTATTGGTGTGAGTTGACGACGATCCACATTGAGATGCTTGGCCCATCGTCTAATAATCACGTCTCTTAGATTACGCTTAGGCCTCAGCATTCGATATGTAGATTTTACTGACAGCCTGTGTAAACTAATCCGTTTTGCGGGGGGGGGGGGTGGAATTGTGGGGAGTTGCCCATTGCCATTCCAACGGGTCAAAGGCTAGCTCATGGATGCTCTTCTTTGGAGGGAAAACCATATATCCTTCCCCTTCTTCTATGACCCTAAGTCGGCATAAGGGAACGGACTGTAAATCCGTTGGTAATTGCCTACGCTGGTTCGAATCCAGCTCGGCCCAGACCCAGCTCTATGAAAGACATGGACTTGATCATATTGAATTCAATATGATCAAGTCCATGTCTTTCATAGTTGTATTTGAATATTCATTAACTATTATCTCGCTCCTGCCATTCGAAGGGGGTTTGACTACCCTTTAGTTTATTGGCCCTAGTAAGACGGTAAAACGCTATTAGAGCCATACACGGATCGACCATATGAATACGGCCCACACGTTCAGGGTCACCTCTGGCCACCACCCAATCCCCTTCAGTAAGGGTAGGCCCTTGCGCAGAATTTTGTGCCATGCCAGGGGGATTGACTCAATGATCGCATCTATATGTTGTTCAACATGATGACAATAATGAAGGGACTCTCTTAATTGATCCGCCGTCTTCCAATCTTTCCGCTCGCTGTCCCACAGATCTATGATTCGCAGTATTCCCCTTTTGACCCAGCTTTTCCACGGTGCGGTGGTGCTGCACCTTACACAACCCTAGGAGTCCATGAGCCACCGGTTACCAAAGAGCGGTTGTCTACATATTTCTTCCCATCGGTTCGGGTGGGGATTATCCGGAAGGGGTAACTTGCGCCAATTTTTCAATAGGGAGGGCCATAAACTATCTGGTGATTGATTACACCCTTCCTCCCCTTGTTGCGTATTCCTCTTCCTCCGTGGAATGGTCCAAAATCGGTCCTCTAACCATGTTGTCGGGTGGACATCTTGGGTGGTTGGTGGGGCAAGGTGGGTCAGATGTTCTAGTGCTAAGGCCACCCAGGGGCAATCCAGGCCAAACAATAGCTTCTTAATCCATTGCAGTTGTAATGCATCTGCCTGAATTGTTGGGTCAATCAACCCTAGTCCCCCCCCCCCTCTTCGGCTGCACAATCGATTCCCATGCCACGCGGCTGATCACATTAGTTTTTTCACAATCTCCTCGCCAGATGAAGGCCGCGATCTTAGTTTTTAATGCTTTCACTGCTGTTTTATTAATGACCAACACTTTGCCAAAGAGAGAGGTGGGTTTGTCTTTCCATGTCATAAACTTGTTCGGAGTCGGGGCACCTACCCATTCATCATTCGTAGTCGGGCGGCCCATGGCCGTCATCGAAACCCGCAGAAAGCTTCCAAGGGTAGCCATTTCACTGAGGGCCGTTCAGGAGGGCGCCCTCCTTGGTAGTGTATCCACCACCCTTGTGTTTTACTTGCCCAGTTAATTGTCATGCATGAGGTCCTCGAAAACTTATGCATCATCTGCTGAATTTCCTCCATGTTTTGGCGAGTCGCCTCCACCAATACTGTGAGGTTGTCAGCAAATAATGAACATACCGGGATCGCATCTTCTGGGATATTGGTAGTTCTGATTCTGGGGATGTCCTTGTTGGCCCGCAGATTTGCTATCAAGGCTTCGATGATAATCGGGAATAAAAAGGGGGCTATTAGGTCCCCCTGTCGCACAGACCACTCAAGTTGATGGAGTATCTGAACCCACTTTCTAAAGTTTGGCCCGAAGTTCATTCTTTCTAAACACTTGTCTAAAAACCTCCAATCTACGTGATTTAGACTTTCTCGAAGTCTATGAACACAAGGGCCGCGTTCTGTTTCAAGTGGTGGGTCAGCTACAGAACCTCATGTACCAGCAAATTATTTTCCTGTAACGCCCGTATGGTCTGGGTGAATTATGTCCTTCATTACCGGGATCATCCGATTGGCCAAGGCTTTGGACAACATCTTATAGACCACCGTGAGTAGGGTGATCGGGCGATAATTCCTGATGTCTATTTTGTCCCCTTTCTTATATAGCAAGGATAACACTCCGTGACCTACCACCTCTCTCATCTCCCTCGTACGCCAGACTTCTTCATAGAATTCCATTACATCAGCACCCATAAAATCCGAAGTAGTTTCCCAGAATTCTTTAGGAAACCCATCAATTCTAGGTGTCTTCTTTTCATCCGTTTGTAAGAGGGTTGCCAATACTTCCGTTTGTAAGAGGGTTGCCCATACTTCTTGCTTGGAGAGAGGGGCTTCTAGAAGTTCTTGTTGTTCCGGTGCCAACTTTCTGTGCATTGGTTCCAGGAATTCATCGATCCTCCGATGGTGGGCCTCACTCCCACCGTCCACAATGTGAGACAAGAAGAGGTCCTTAGAGAAATCCCATGTGATTTTGGTAAACCTTGCGGTAGTTAGAGCTGGTGTTGCCTCCCCCGCCTCCGGGTCATGCAGGGCATCAATTGTGGTACGTCGAACTCTTGTTTTTGCGAGGTTAAAAAAACGTGCTTCCATCGAACCCTCCGAGGAGAAGCGGGACAATTTCGCCCTAATTCTCGATCCTTGCCATTGGTAGTGTGCAAACTGCAAAAGTTGGGTTTGGAGTTGTTGAGTTTGTTCTTGGCTTGCATGTGAAATATCGTGGTGTTCTAAGTCACATAACTTTTGCATAATGTCTATTTCCTGTTGGTATCATTGAGAGGCCAAGAGCTTTGAAAATTCCTTGCACTTTTTAGATCGAAAGAACAAGCCATTGTTAAACCAAGTAATGTAGGAGTCAATTTCCGGTAGACGTTCTTGCCAGTATTCCCATGTGTGTCGCAGGTAGTCTTGAAAGGAGGCCAGGCGGAGCAGGGAGGTGTTTAGCTTATAAAACCGCGACGTTTAGCTTATAAAACCGCGACCCCCAATGGGGCCACTTGTGAAAGGTGAAGACGGCGATGCACATCTTGTGGTATATGTGGGCTTGAGGGTAAGATTGCGGCGGCAGTTAGGCCGCCTGCCAGATCCTCTGCGGCAAGGATCAGATCAATTCTCGATTTAGAAATTTTAGATAACGTATCCGGATTATTGTTTTTGATGCAACTGTAAGTCCTTTCTGTAGGCTGAAGGCGTCTGAATGTATCGAAGAAGGTGAAGGATGTGCACAGTTCTTTTACCATTGTCTCATCCTCTTCAACATTACGAGCGCAAGAAGGGGGGACCTCTCTGTGGTACCGCGACACCTGTGCTTTTTCATCTATTAGCTCAAAGAGAGGTTTCCACTGGTGCTCCTTTCTTTAATGGTACTATAATACCTATTTTTATTTGTTTACTACTTGTTTTAGTTTATATACATTACAGAAGTGCACAGCAAGTGCACAGCAATCAAAGTGTGTTTTTGTGTGTTTTATTTATTATTCATGTAATTTTCATCAAGTTAATTGCAGATTTGTCGTATCTAGAGTCTTTCTGCTGTGCTCTTTGNTGCTCCTTTCTTTAATGGTACTATAATACCTATTTTTATTTGTTTACTACTTGTTTTAGTTTATATACATTACAGAAGTGCACAGCAAGCGCACAGCAATCACACGTTTCTCTGAATCATCGTATCAGACTTCCACATATCCACTTAAGGGAAAGTCTTTTCGTAACGGATGACCCTCAAAACCATAATCTGTTAATATCCATCCACCTGTTTGGTGCAGCGTTGAAATCGCCCGCTAGAATCAACGGGACTCCTTGTGGAGGGATGATTTTGAGATTCTCAAAGGAGTCCTTCCTCTCCTGCACTGTGTTGGGGGCGTAGAGAGCAATGACACATATCACCTCTAATTCAAGCATCCCTAACACACAGACCCATCGTCCTTCCACTTCATCTTGTTGGCGGTGAAGAACTTCAAATCTGGAACCAGGGGGTACCCACACTGCCACCCCTGCCCTCCCAGGCCCTGGAGCATGTGCTTTGTAGGCTTGGTATGGCCATACCTGTTTGCGTACTCTATGGTGTTCTGGGCAGTCCATGAGATGTGTTTCTTGAACGCATACCAAGTCAGGCCAGGACCTTCCTCCCACCCTGCGGAGGAGGTCCCACAGCACCTGGGTCTTGTCTTGATTGCGAGATGCCAGACCGTTGACATTAATGGTTCTGAGATCTAAATCGGCTGCTTGTAAAGTGCACTTGCAGGCCTTGAACACAGCTATATTAATCACCTGAGTTCTATTCCGGAAGATGGTTGTGCTCTAGCTGTGAATAGAAAACCATCAATAATTCTGTTGTGGAGGGGGGCGGGGGGGAGGAGAGGAGGATGTTCGAGGCCCGCAGAGCAACAGTTTCGCTTCAAAAAGCCGAAAAGTTTTGAGTTGAAACGACTCAAGAATTTCGTTATCTTGATTTTTCGAGTCCTTGGGTCCCAAGTAGGCTGGTACCAGGTGGACGGTCTACCCAGATTAACCAGTACAATGATACTTTTTCCTGTTTTTTCAATTTTTTATTTTCTTTTGTGATTTCTGAGCCTATTGAGATGACTCGTGAATTTCGTTATTTTGATTTTTTACTCCCGGGTGAGAAAGAGAGCATGAACCTACAACATTCAGATTATGAGCCTGACGAGTAACCAATTCCTCTATCCCACACGCACATACCAGGGCTTGACGAGCGGGAACCTTAAAGCCCGTCCTGTACCACCCTGGGCCCACCTCAGTCCTGGGCATGCAAATAATTTCCACGCGCACATACCAGGGCTTGACGAGCGGGAACCTTAAAGCCCGTCCTGTACCACCCTGGGCCCACCTCAGTCCTGGGCATGCAAATAATTTCCACGCGCACATACCAGGGCTTGACGAGCGGGAACCTTAAAGCCCGTCCTGTACCACCCTGGGCCCACCTCAGTCCTGGGCATGCAAATAATTTCCACTGGCAGTTTTCTGGATATAGGTGTAAGTTGGCACCGGGACTGGCTGTAGTGGGTATTGCCATCTTTTAAGTGGGGAGTAGATGCAATTTTCCCTTTTTTTTTTCAATCAAAGGAGAGCCCCTTCTTCTCGGGGTAAGCAGACAGCCATTCCCCTGCAGTCCGAGACCCCTGTCGTTGGGCGCTGCAGGGGCAGAGTGAGGCTCCACTCCCCCGCCTCGGGCCCGGGACCATAGTGACCGGGAAATTTCCTCACAGTACCCAGACGTGCACTACGAGTGTTTCTGGCACTTTTAGTTTATATACAACCATAATTTCTGTACAATTTATTCAGGGAAAGACGGTACGGAAGTCCAGACCCGTTAATTGCTGCTGGGAAGAGACACAGTGTCACATACATACATTGGTAAAGGTGAGATTTGAGGTGGGAAATTCCATCTTTTTTTTTTTTTTTTTTTTTTTCAGCAAACACACCCCCACCGGTGCTAGTGGTGCTGATAAGAGCAGACACGAAATTCCATCTTACATGTGAATCATCATCAAAGTTGATCAAACCCTCTACCGGGCCTCTAGGAAGAGCTTCAAACCATGCAAGGCAGGGATTTCAAGGGAATCAAAAGACAAGGGAGATGACCAGTCCCTGCTGGGAAGGTCATTGCATTTTTTTTTTAAATCCTTATAGAAAAGGACACTAGCAAACACACACTAGCAAGCCTGAAAGGTTTTCTTTTCCAGGATCACAACCAATGTTAGAACCAAAAAAAAGGGGCATGGCCCCACCTCGGCACTGAACACAGGGCTGGTGATATGTTTCATGCTTTCGAAACATACTCGTCAGCCCTGAAAACGACTGGTTTCTTGTGTCCTCTTCAGTGTACAAACATCATAGAGCACATGGAATGACCCTTGGGATGGGTGGACTGAATCCAGGAAATCCTGGAGTATGCCATGACACCCTCTCAGAAGGACAAAAAATTATCTTGAAATTGCCGCTCTACTTTGTTCACCCGTCTTTGTGCCCCGCCTAAAAGTTGCACTCAATCATGATCTGAACTGTGGCCACATTCCTTATGTAGCCCAAACTATCATGGTCTGACTTGACAGAAAAATATCAAAGTCTGGACTCTGGATCATGATCTGAACAGCAACCGAATTCCTTACGCAGTCCGAGCTATCATAATCTGGCTCCAAAGATCTGACTAAGTTCCAAGTACCAACCCCACTCGCTAGATATGTAGCGCAACGGTTAAGGAACAACTCAAAAAATTCACCTTGAAGTTGTTGATGTCACACACATGTGAACGATTGTACCGAGATAGCCGGCTAACGACATAGCTTAGGTTTACTGTGTAATGTGTGGAAAAATGGCGAATCTATTTTTCTGACTAGGGTTAAAGCACCAGTACGGGCGAGCTGTCGGCTGCGGGCCCCTTTCGGAGGCCGCCCACCGCCGATGCATTTTATCTATGGCGCTCGGCCTCCTACATTTTCGGAGAGACTCAAAACAGGTTCTTCAGTTGCCTGGGGCCATGTACTGGTGGTTTATGTCCCCACAACTTGGGCCGAGCAGCATCCACATGCCTATGGGCCCTTTGTGGGAATCAGCGACGATTTGACTCGTCTAGGAGTGGGTGAAAGAGCTAAGACCAGAAAGGCGGTCTCATTGCATGGAAAGTTGGAAACCCCCACAATACATCTATGTAACTTTTTTTTTTTTTTTTTAGGGGGGGTCTTACTCCTCGCGACTCGTGAGACCCTACCCTTTCTTTCGTCAAAATTTATCTGATCCACCCCTTCTCGCGGTCTCATCGCATGGAACCCCCCACCATTCATCTATGTACCTTTTTTTTTTTTTTTTTAAGGGGGGGTATACCCTTTCTTTCGTCAAAATTTATCTGATCCACCCCCCGCTCCCTCGGATTTACCTCTGTGTCTACCACTCAGGAGTCAGAACAGCTACTCCTCTAGCATTTCCTGGTGGGAATGACCTGGCCAGCCAACGCTGAGCCAGGTTTTCCGACACAGTCCTTGGAGCACAAGTCAAGGTTTGGGGCCTTTGGGCTGTGCACACACCGCGCATAACACCCATCAACCCCCAGGCTGAAAATCATTCCCTCACGCCTCCCCCTAGCCGTTCGCCAGACCCAGTTCTCTGAGTTGTTGTGGCTGGCCACTTGAGCCCCGATCCATTTTCGGCGCGATGAAGCTAGACCAGTGAGCTATTACGCTTTCTTCAAAGGATGGCTGCTTCCAAGCCCACCTCCTGGTTGTAATTGCTCGATCACTTCCTTTCCCACTAAGTGATTGCTTTAGGACCTTAGCGTAC